TTCCCGGCCACAGCTAACATCAGTGCCACGGTGACATTTGAACCAATCCTGGACACCCCTTCTTCAACCCACACAAACCAGCGTGGTGAAGTATGGTCAAACAGTCATCATGTGCAACAGGAGTCAGGAGGCCTTCATCCAGCAGTGGATTAATAAAGGGTTATTGTGAAGCTTGCCTTGTTCCGAGTTTCGTATCTTTGACTTTAAACACAAATTAAAATAAAACGGACTCCACTGCGAATGCTGTACAAGCAACATGAGGTTACAATGCTGCGGCACAGCACACACAGAGAGGTGTTGGGCACGCTCCAGATGTGAAGAGAAGTGAACTCCGGCTCCCACCCACAACTTGGCGTCAATACCAGCGACCCAGTGGCGTAGTAACGACGACGTCATCAGTGGCGTGGTCACGACGACGTCATTAGTGGCGTGGTAACGACGACGTCATCAGTGGCGTAGTCACTGACGACGTCATCAGTGGCGTGGTAACGACGACGTCATCAGTGGCGTGGTAACGTCGACGTCATCAGTGACGTGGTAACGACGACGTCATCAGTGGCGTGGTAACGACGACGTCATCAGTGGCGTGGTAACGACGACGTCATCAGTGGCGTAGTCACGACAACGTCATCAGTGGCGTGGTAACGACGACGTCATCAGTGGCGTGGTAACGACGACGTCATCAGTGGCGTAGTCACGACGTAACGACGACAGTCGCACCTAGGCTATTGTGTATATCCCGGCTGCTCTGACCTCATCACGTCGTGACACAAAGCGTCGTTTCTCTGACGCCGCTCTTGTTGAAAACAAATCTCACGGTGGTTCTCAAGGGGGCCCCAACTCGTAGCTTTGGCCACCAGGGGGGGCCAAGGCACCCTCTGCCTGCCCCACGATCGTGACTACTGCAGGGACCCCAAGCGTGGCTCAACGGGGTCGCTGCATCCACACGCCGTCCCCCAAGCCACGTGGGCTCGACTCAAGACACCGCTTTACGCGAGGGCTCTGGTTTTGTGTCAAGCTTCACAAAGGCGGGGGTGTGGGGGCAGAGGTGGATGGGTGCGTGGGGGAGGGGGGCTGCGTTACGTTACTTTTATAGTGGTTGTTTGTTTTAGTGGGGTGTACGATGAGATGCATTCACAGGACTCGCAACACCTGCGGGCCCCGCACGTGGCGATTACGCGAGATGAGCCCCGGCTCTGTGATGCCGTCCGACCGGTCACGCCGCACCTGCTGCTGGGCTGGAGAGCGGCGCGCCGGCCAGCTGCTGCTGCAGCAGCAGCTGTGCCTACAGCTACACCAAAGCCTGGCCTATAGTTATTCACTACCTACAGCTACACCAATGCCTGGCCTATAGTTATTCACTACCCACAGATACACTAAAGCCTGACCTAAAGTTATGAACTACCCACAGATACACTAAAGCCTGGACTACAGTTAGTCCACTACCTATACAGCTACACTACTAATGACTGACTTTGTCATCAGCAAATCTAAGAAGGTTCGTTTGTGTTTTTTTTCTATTGCGATCTACGCCTTTATTACTTATTTATACAATTAATGATTCCGTAAAACTGCACTCTGGTTGTCACTGTTCTAGTTTGTGAATCACTGCACGTGTTATTCAGGTCTCGCTTTGTGAGGCTTTGGAACACTTGCATCAGTTTCCACCGAGTCAAATGGCGTTTCACACGATGGAATATGCCGGTTCGTACACGTGGTAAGGACATTGCACTATTGTGATCACTCAAGTGCCTGCCATGCGCTCAGTGGGCCCCCACTTCGAGAGTCCAGTGACCAGCGTGGTGAAGTATGGTCATGGCCGACACAACATGGGGAGGACTTTCTAAAGTAGCTTATCAACAAAGGGCTGTAAATGATCACATTATTGCTTCATATACAAGATTTCACAAATTGAGGTTAATCGTCTCGGCACAACAATATGGAGTGGCGTCACTGCTGTACCCAACCATTTCTAGACGAACCATTAACCCCGGCTGACGAGAAGAATTTCGCACCGAACTCGACTTGGCCGACTCCAATGAATTAACGAATGTTCACGAACACGTCGTAAGCTGCCGTAATCCACCCTTCACCTGCCCTGCCGCGCCCGCTGCGAGCGACCGCCGCGTGCGATGGAGGCACCTGCGGAGCGGCGCGAGGGCCCGCCCGGGAGTCATTGGGCGCGCGTGCGTGCGCGTGCGCGTTGTAAACAGGCGCGCGCGTGCGTGCGCGCACCCCCCCCACCCACTGCTGAGCGTGCTTGTAGTCAGCCAGGTGATGAATTTCCAAGCCGGTGTTTGTTTTGCCGGATCAATCTCTGCCCTGCACCTGCGGGAGAGAAGCTCCTCGCTGCTCACCGCGTACGTGTAAACAAGCGTGGCCACAACACGCACCCCCGTCATCATCCTCCACAATAGAGGGGTTTTTTTGGGGTTAGATCGCGTAAATATAGCAATGTGTCGTTAAACCCGCCACCACCCGACACAGCCAATTAGTAAAGTGTGTCACGTAATCAGAACGTGCCAATTCGTTGCTAGTACAGCACACCGGTGTGTTGGAGAGCAAATCCACAACGGATAGCCAGATTTGTCCGCCTGATGAAGCTAGTTGTAATTTCTGGCGAAGCGTCGTACTCAGATGATAAATGTTGTGATTTCCTCTCCAACACACCGGTGTGATGTACTAGTAGCGAATCGGCATGTTCTGCTTACGTGACAAACCTTACTAATTGGCTGTGTCGGGTGGTGCCGGGCTTAACGACACATTTATATTTACGCGATCTAACGCCAAATAAACCTGTATTATGAATGATATTGGTCGCGAAAGGCTACGTGTTAACATCACCATCCTCGTTCACAAAAGTCAAAGACCTCGTTGGTAAGAGGTGCAATATCCCGTACTCGTTCTCTGCAGTGTTACTCTTTCGTTTTGGTTGCTGCTGTGTTCACGCACCACGGCTCTCCCGTGTAAAACAACCGGTTAACTGACTAAGCGGGACCATCCGTGCAACAAATCAAACACACTCAACTCAAACGGTCTTGATTTGAAGCTTTCGTGACTGCAGGAATAAATCACGACGTTTCGATCGCACCTGAAGACGGTCGCTGGTTGTTGCGATCGAAACGTTGTGATCTATTATTTGTTCTACCTATGTGACTTTACCGAAAGAACCAAAAAGTATCAACCCAAACGCGTCCGCACACACACAGGAGTCTCTGACTTGTAATCCAGTCCTGTGGAGGAAGCGATGGGATTCGTGTTTGTCTCACAATTGCACGGGAGTGGAGGTTACCAGTGCACGTCAGAACGGATTTATGGTTCTTCAGTACGGGGTGAGATGCTCCCTGCTCATTGAGCAAAGCATAGCTGAGTCGTGAATGGTATTGGCAAGTATGGCGGGAATTGTAAACATCTAAAGACCGCAGCATCGAACATGGTTCGTTATACGACGGCATGCTCACAACGACGGTCTTTGGGCACTTGCTTGGACCAAAATAGTCGAAACACTGACGCTGCATGTGGAGTCGTGTAGACTGATGCGATGTTTGTGGCTCGACTGATCAGAGGAGCATTTGTCACTATTCACACGACAACATCAAATACCAACAACGCTCTGATCAATTTCCATGACGTGTATAAGCCACACGATCAACTCGAGCCAGAAAACGCAGTGACATTTGATACGGTCGTATTTACACGGGGACCCTACACCTGCGTGGGCAGATCGCTCACTGCAATTACCTTGCCAGGGTTTGATCACCGCCTGCGCTTCCCACATCAATTCCCTCGTGCACGGATGTACAGGTGGCTGAAATTGTGGCCGACAAGCGCGCTCTTCGAGTCTCAGTGGAACTTGGGGGGAGGTGTTCTACGGCGGAGAGCCTGTCCGAGGGCTGCCACAACGAGGCAGTGTTGGGGCTGGACAAAAACAGCACGCGTGGTTACGTCTCCCCACTGCCGAAATTGATACAATGCATAATCACCGGGTGGATGTATGACAAGTTACAGACACCTTGACTATAATTATTATTCTAAGCATGGAAAGGAGTGTTGTGGCACACCGAGAAGAGACCCAATTTATGCTTTTGGGGCACGTGCTGTTATTGAGCACCCAGGAAGAAGGCCATAAAGAAACTGGGATCAATTACAGGGGGCCAAGGCAGCTTCACATCCCACTGGTCGCTGGTACTGTCCTGGCTCACAAGGACCACACTCTACACACACACTTACACCCACAGACACACCCACAGACACACACTTACACACCCACAGACACTTACACTACACACACAGACACACTTACACACACTACACACCCACAGACACACACACACTTACACACACACTTACACACCCACAGACACACACTTAGACACACTTAGACACCACGCATAAACAAAAGACAAATTTCCCCCGTATAGCCTTAGCAGAATTTTGGGGCAAGTACTGTTAGCGAGCACCTATGAAGGCGCTGCACGCGAGGGGGTGGGTGACCAGCACGACGCCCGGCCGCCTTTGTCTCCACAGTGACGATGCTTACACATCGCACCTGGTACTCATTTGAGGCTGAATCGACCTAGGGGAGGCCCAGGACCGGTTCGAATAATCGTCACTGGTGTTGGCCGTGAGCGGGAATCAAACCCGGGTAGCCAGGTTCGTAGCAGAGCACGCTAACCGCTACACTGCCGCTCCCCACACACAACACACACCCCACACACACCCTACACACACTGCACACTACCCACACCACACACACACCCCACACACCATACACCACACACCCCACACACACACCCCACACACACATCCCACACATACACCGCACACTACCCACACCACACACACCCCACACACACTACACACATACACCACACACTATACACACACATCCCATACCACACACCACACACATTATACACATACACACCCCCTACACACAAACTCCACACAGCCTACGTACACACACACGAATCCCATACATACGAGTAAAGCCACATAAATGTTTGTTTATTCATTTATTCATAATTTAAATAGGCATTTAAACATCTAACACGTGCAGCTATAAAAGAAATATTTTAAAAACAGTTTCTTTTCAAAAATAGTCAAAAATAAATAACTTACATTTACATTTGTCATTTTTTATTTGTTTTTATAAAGCTTCAGTACTTTGCATTTACATAAATATTACAAATAAATATACATATATATTACAATTATTTCATTAAACTGACAAAATACCCAAATATCCAATCGTCTTTAAGACATTTGTCTCTGCATTAATGACAGATCTCACAATTACATCGTCATCATCGATATCATCATCAATGTCATCATCATCATCAATATCGTCATAATCAATGTCATCATCGTTGCTCGCTCATGGAGTAGCGGGTCGGCGTTTTGTCTTCATCTTCGCGTGGTTTGTACAAACAAATAAACTCGGCAGGGCCAAGTCACATTGAGCAAAGGCGCAGCCCGGCAAGTGCCGTGAGCACTTCTCGCGTGAAAGTTTGGTGTCGGGTGAACAGCGGTGATGGGCAGCGTCTCCTGGCTTTGAGAGTAGTGATCCAGAGAAGCTGCAGTCTCTTCACGATAGTGCAAATGCACCAGGGGAACTGCCCACTCGTTCTGTATAAATATTTATTCAATTCCATAGTTAAGGAGGCGCGGGTGTGTGTGTGTTGGGGGAGCCATGCTTTCGTGTACAGCGCGCCGTGACCGCGTCTGCGTTGGCACCGCGATGAGCTCATCCCGCATCGCGCGCCGCGCGTGGGGCGAGCGCTCTGCGGCGTCACACGGAGGCAGGCGTCGCCAGATCTCTCCGTCTTCACACCTGCAAGAGACACAACGAGCGCGTTAAGTCCACCTGCCCGCGGCAATGACGGTGGCTCGACGCGGCGGCGCATTGTGGGCAGGTGATGGTGCAGTGGGAGCAGTGACCGCGGTCTCACCTCCGTCGCAATGATGCACTCGTTCTGCGTGATCGAGCTGATGTACACGGACGTGTGGTTCGGCGCTGAGGAGGAGGAAGAGGAAGACGACTCGGTGCAGCCGGACTCAAAGCTCGCCCGCTTGCTCTTCCCCGCCGCCTTGCTCTCCGCCACCTCGGCCTGGTTGCTCGCGGCTTCCGAGACGCTGCTCTTGTAGTCGATGCCCTGGTATTTGATTTTATAGTTTGATTTCCTGGCGCCGCAGTCTCCCTCGGCGCCCAGCTGCTTGTTCGTGTTTTTTAGCTCGGACGTCACGATCACGTTGATGGCCAGCTCTTTCTCCTTCTGGCAGTCGCTCAGGTTGTTCATGGTCTCCGTGTCCGGGGCGTGAGTCGCCGAAGAGATGCGAAGGCGCAGCTGTCGGAGCAGGAACGTGAGGACGGCGGCGATGAGCAGCAGGAAGACGAGCCCCAGCGCGGCGCACAGCACGAACACGGAGCCCGAGTCCGCCTCCTGCCTCTCGGCGTCCGGCATCTCGACGGCGAGCGGCGGCGACATGAGACTCTCCTCGCATCGCGAGCCCATGAAGCCCAGGGGACACTCGCAGGCCGCGCCTCCGCCTTGCTTGGGCAGGCACGTGCCCCCGTTGAAGCAGGGCGTGAGCGCGCACGGGCTCACGGCCACGGCGCACTCCCTGCCCGTGAAGCCCGAGGGGCAGCTGCACACGAAGCTGTTGACGCGGTCGTGGCACGTGCCGCCGTTGAGGCACGGCAGGCGCGCGCAGTCGTCCACGTTGCGCTCGCACCGGGAGCCCGCGAAGCCCGCCCTGCAGCGGCACAGGTAGGAGCTGCCGCTGTCCTCGCACTGCCCACCTGCGGTCGCGAGGGCACGCCCGGTTAGTCACCGCGCGAGAGCGACCCTTCACGGTCACGATCGTAGCCGTCGTGGCAGGAGCCACGGCGCGGTGCGCTAACCGCTGCGCAAACCGCTCCGACTTCAACACGGGCGATGCGTCGATCAAGCGCGACGCTGCGCGCGTGCGGTGTGCGTGGGGAGGGGGGCGCGCTCACCGTTCGCGCAGGGGTTGTTGCTGCACTGGTCCACTTTTTTCTCGCAGTTGAAGCCCGTGTAGCCGGGGGGACACGCGCACGAGTAGCCGCCCTGGGGGCGGTCGCGGCAGCTGCCCGCGTTGAAGCAGGGGGCGTCCGCGCACGTCATGGCGCTCAGGTCGCAGTTCTTGCCGTAGAAGCCCGGCGGGCACGAGCAGGTGTAGTCGTTGTCCAGGTCCTGCACGGCAGAGGGGAGCGAGAGGGATGTAGCGGCCCGCTCGCGGCAACAGAGACAGCGAGAGGCGGCCGTGGTGCGTGAAGCTCGCGTGGTGAGCGCGGTGGCAGCTTACCAGGCAGCTGCCCCCGTTACGGCACGGGTTCCCCTCGCACTCGTTGGTGTCGACCTCGCAGTTGGTGCCAGTGAAGCCCGGCTTGCACATGCAGCTGTAGCTGCCCTGGCCCACGTTGGTGCAGGAGGCGCCGTTCTGGCACGGCTTGTGGTGCGTGCAGTAGTTGAGATCTGGAGAGCGGCCACAGGGAAGAGCGCCGTGGTCACGCACACGCGTCTCGTGCTCGCACCGTGCGAACAGTGGCGTAGCAAGCGCGCACTGCTTGTGCTCGGGCAGGGAATCGTCGCTCAACGGGGATGATGACCGGTGGTGAGGGTTGAGAGCCATAGCAGGGAACACGGCCGAGAGGACGTGCGACGCAGGAGATGGAGTGAACAAATCAGCACGTGTGCAGGAACGAGGTGGATTGTTCCGTCGCCTGGCTGTGCGAGATGGTGATGATTTGGGGGATAACTTAAATGAAGCGGTGGATAGATCGTGGCTGCTGCTGCTGATGATGGTGACGATGTTGACGATGATAGAGCAGCTATGGCGCGGCATGGTCACCTTGGTTGCAGAAGAGGCCGCCCCAGCCTTCCTTGCAGGTGCATTGCCACGGCTGCTGGCAGGTGCCGTGCACGCAGCCCGGGTAGCGGATGCACTCCTCGCAGTGGCGGCCCTGCCAGCCCACGCGACACCTGGGAGAGGCGACACACGGAGCAGGACCGTCAACCACAAGCGCTCCTCGAAGAATCACCAAGACTCAAATGGAAAGAAGGTCGCGATCAACCGAGTCTCGAGCGACGAAGATTCCACGAGTGTTTTGCGATGTTACACTCACTTGCACTCTCCGGGCCTGTCGCAGTATCCGTGAGAGTCGCTGCATCCTGGCAGGCACACAGCTGGAACGAGAGAGAGAGGGAGACGTGAGTGAGCGAACGAGCGGGCAGGGAAGGAGGCGTGCGTGAGTGGGGAGGGAGGGAGGGAGGAGTGAGTGCGGAGCGCCATCGGGGCTCGCGTCGTCGCCACCGCCTCACAAAGCGAGGGGCATCTGCGAGACGAGTCCCGGGCCGAGAGCGCGACAGCTGCCGTCCCCCCATTGTGTGGCGGTCGCTCTGACAGAGCTGCGGCTCAGAGCGCGGCCAATCCGCGGCGCGTCCCGGGCACGCGCCGCGCTCTAATTACAGAGCCCCCATCGCTCGGAGCCATTATCACGCGCGCGGCTCTGCCCACTTTACGGCTCGTAATTAAACTGCGTGCTAGAGGAGGAGGACAGAGGGAGGGGAGGGGGTTGTATGGGGTGGTGGGTGGGGGGTGGTGCTCACCTTCTGAGCAGTAGGGACCTCGCCAGCCCGGCAGGCAGAGCTTCTGCCCGGCCTCGTCGCACGAGAAGTGACCGAAGGTGTCGTCCCTGGCGCGGCAGTAGGTGGAGCAGCCCTCGCCGTAGTAGTGCTCGGCGCACACGACGCGGTACGAGTAGCGCAGCTCGCTGTGCCGGCTCACGTGCGTGTCCTGGGACCAGTCCTCCCCCACGCTCAAGTGGCGCTGCGTGGCCAGGCGGCTGATGAGGCGCTCCGGGTGGTCTGCGGGGTCACAACACGCGGGGTTATTGTCACCACTCTGGGAAATCGAGCAATGGATCATATGCGGCGGTGCAGCAGTGGATCGGTACCGAGTAATGTGCGCGGCCTGCGACGAGACGCAAACACCCAGACTCACCGGTGGACATATCGGACGCCTCCGCGTGCCAGGCCTCGATGATCAGCGAGAAGGTTCCCTGTAACGGGAGCGGTGTTGGGAGGGATCACGGTGAGACGCGGAGCACATCAGACCCTCAGACTCACCGCACGCGGTGCCATGCCCGTGCTCGAGTGCGCGAGAATATTTAGTGAGGGGAGACTCCACGGACGGGGAGTTTGCTGCTTACCGGCCACGTGAAGCTGAAGGGAAAGGTGATCGGGTTGGCGAAGCCGCGCACGTCGTGGACGCGAAAAGAGTTGGATCCCAGCACCGGGGTGAGGACGCTGCCGAAGGTGCACGGCGAGTCGGGCGTGATGTGCGTCTGGTAGTGCTTGAGGCACACTCGGAAGAAGGTCCGGCACTCGCAGAACGAGGACGGCGGAGAGCCAGACTTGCAGCAGGCGCCGCTGGCGCGGAACGCGTTGCTGTTGATGATTTCTTGCAGTTTGAGTTCGAAAATCCCAGCGGATAGTGCCTGTGAATCACAGCGTGCGTTAGTTCCAGGGCGCACGCAGAAGCACAGGGCCGTGTCCTGGCGCGTTCAACAACCGGTCCCGAGTGACAAGGAGGCGTCCGCTGTGCTCCTGCACGCGATGTGTAACGTGGCATCCAGTGATCTTGTTTAACCCTGCCAGTTTTGTGCATGAGCGTCTTGATTCTCTGTTTCTCATTGCATTCCCAACTTGTGTCCATGTTTTTAGCCAACGTTTTAACAATTTATTCTAAAATGTATTTTAGACGTGACAAAAATATGAAATTAATCTCAAGCGCGTGGTGTTCTACTTCAACCCCAGAGGAAGAGAGGAACTTACCAGCTGCACCAGGCAGAGAGAGACGACCAAAGTGAGCAGGAGGTGCGAGAGTGCCATCCTTAGATCCAATGTCTCTTTTCCCAGGAAGAGTCGCAGTGTGGTATTTACATCAGTGCTGCGTCCTACTGATGTTCCTGTCCAGTGTTTAAAAATCGGGTGTTTTGTAAAAAATAACTGTTTTGATGCGATGATGGTTAAGCTAGCTCATGCGTTTCACTCAAGAGCCGTCTTCACTCGGAACGTGCGAAGCAATGTCCCAGTAGGATCCTGGAGGAGCTACGCCGAGCGAGCGTCAGGATCTCTGTGGTTCTGAGCACTCACCCCGCGCCCGCTTTATATGCGAGGGCCCCGAGGCCGTGAGCCAATGCAGCGTGAGCTGGTGGGCGGCGTGAGCAGCCAGGGCCCGCCTGCTCCCAACTGCCTTTCCGGGCCGTATTCACAAATGTGAATACATTAACTTGTAGTAATGACAGATGCTTGCGCTGCACAACAGATGGGAGGGGGGGGGGGAGTTGCGCGGGGAGGGCTGGAAGGAGTGCGTGAGCTCTGGAAAGGAATGATTTTTGTTGTGTTCAGGCTTCCCAGATGAACAGCTCGCTGCCGTTACATCTGTGCAGCGCGGTGAGTTTGCTCGCCTCTTCGTTCCAGAGCCGAAATCGGGTTTCTGTTCCGAGGGCGCCAGGTGGACCGCGCTGTCCTCTGTCATTCCTACACTCGGTGCGAGAGGTCTCGCGTCATTATGGAACAGTGAGTGGCCTGCGACACAATGCGAAAGCCTATTACGCGTAAAGTTACTGCAACTAATACTGGTGCACTGTCGAGGGCTGTGCAGTTATTTTACGCACACGGACAAGCGACAACTCGACATACATGTGTGCAACAAGTTTCTGCAACAAGTTGCTACAACAACAAAAGTGTGCATCCCAGTGCAGTCCCCCAGTTAGCGTGACCCGATGCGGTGTGCCCGGTGTGCCCACCGTGCCCACCGCACGGTTCGGATTTTGTGACCCACATCAAAGGTGCCACACGCGGGCATCAAACCCCGCACCGCTCTATCACCAGACGATTTGCGTCGGTGAGTTGGTACAGTGCAATAAAACATCAAGGCAGTGCAAGGCGATTGAAATATGTATATGCGTTTTTTGATCTATTTCTCCGGGATTTAAATAGTTGCAATTGTTTAAGTTAACCCAAGAATGAGAAACAGACGTTTACAATCAACACAAAGGAGAGAATGCCTGTATACATTATCCTGACGTTGCCCAGCTTTTCCGATTTCTGCAGCAAAGCGTGTCAGTGTGCACAAAGGCGCTTCTCTGTCAAGGGACAAACCCCTCGGCTTTGTATCCTAATTCGTGTGCCCAGTTTTGTGTTCCTGTAATCGGGCAGAAGGCCTCTGCGAAACTCCTGCGCGTGATTTTTGTTCCCCCCGTTTGGGGTTCCTCGGCCGATGGCGGTGGTGGCCGCTCTCGCCGCAGGTGCCGTGGTCACACCTGGGCCGCGTGGCGCGCGCCTCGGGGTGGGGGGGAGCGGGGGGGTTACGGGCCCGCGTGAGGTGCGCGCAGCGCGGGCGTGTGGAGCGCGATTCGTCTCGGCCTCCCAATGGAGCGCTCCTCCCCAGACGCGCTCCTTTCTTCCGCGGCCATCTGTTCCCCCACGGCGCCCGTGATTTGCATGGCAGGCGACTTGACCCGGTGGGTTGAACACTCCAGCACAGGGACTCGCCACCCCCCACCCTACCCCACACACGCACGCACACAATAAGCATGAGCCGATGTGTTTGATAAGGATACGCCCCGCCCCGCCCCGGTGCGGTGGTGGGGTTGTGGCAGAAGCGCCGAGTAAAAGTGAAAAATAAGAAACGATTAATCTCGGGCCGCGTCAACAAACGCGCCATCAGCGGCCGAGTTTGCGTTCGCCGTGCGCTAGGGCGCGTTGTGCACGTGGCCCCTCCGTGCGCAGAGCAGCGAGCAGAGTCGCTCGCAACAGGTGGGGAGCGATCCGCGATGACGGGACGACGGACACTCGCCACGCTGGGTGTGTGACCACCCAGGCAATGGCGCGCTTACGATGAGACCGCCTCGAGGTTTCACTCGGGCCGGTGCGGCGGCGAGCCAAGCCGGGCCATGGCCCCAGCGTGGCTGGCACGGCCTTCGCGTAGCTGCACGCGCGTCTGGACCTGCGGGCCGACGGAGCGACTCTCATCCCATCGTGATGCGTGTTCCATGTTGATGACGTCAGCGCGCCTTCACTCGGTCGATGAGGTTAATTGGGATGCTGCTGACTCGGTAGCCATCCACCGTTTCATTGCAAATGGAACTTTGATCCGAGAAAGGTGCAAACACCGAAACCAAGCATTTGGCCAGGCGTGCTGTCATCGCGCTGCAGTGACATCACCGCATTGTTGATGTTCTCAGGCGCAGCTCGTGACTGCTGCATGGGTCAGGCCTCCCCAATCCTCTTCCCTTCCTTGTCGCCTCCTGCCGTCTCCACTGCGTCTCCACTGCGTTGTGATGTTGTTCGTGCCTCCTCAGTTGTTCTCACCACGTGGCCTGCATCGACGTCACATTCAATCACATGACGTCACAATGACGTCTCTACAGTGGGTAGCACATTACCAAGTAGCGTCGTTGTGTCGCTAACAGAATAGACAACGCCTCCTTCCTATACTTCTCTTTCCACATACACGATACATATTTTACAGGATGCATCGACCGCACGGCCTTCTGGAAGTGCATCTTATCAGCTCCATTGGTTCAATACAATAACAATTTGGGCCGGTTTCGACGTTTGATGTCTCATCAGCAGAGAAAGGCTTGCTTGAACCAATGCTGGTAAACAGCCTGATGTGTATAGGCAGTGCAGGGACGCGCCCGTGCGTGACTTTCACGTCTTTTAGTTTTCTCATTATCAAGGCTGCCAGCTCGGCGCAACTCGCTGCCAGGGAGGGCCGCTGCGAGGTGCCTCTCGAATCGACGCACTCCGAGCTGGTGGGTCCGTGACCGTTTGTCGCAGTGAGTCGGTGCCATTGTCCCTGGGGTGAACTTCAACCGTGGTTTGGGAGTGTCACCTGTGTGCAGATGAGCGCGCGTATCGCGGGTGACAGCCACCGCACTGTCCCGCGGGATGGGGGAGTTGCCCGTGACCCCACTGAACCGGCCCCGGCTGATGGTACGGAGAGGCTCGCGCCGCGTGTCCGTGACGGCAGCGGTGCACTCACGATGGACGCGCGGCATCTCGCGTCCAATATGACACTCAATGTACCCGTTTACCTCTTTAATGGGGGTAAATAGTAGGGGCTACAACCGTCATATCCCACTCGGTTGTGAAGCGTGCCCTCCTCGCCCCTTCAGCCAACCCGCACGAACCCCGTCGTGGTGAAGTGTGGTCAAACAATCCCCCCCGCGTAACCGACACGGCGTGGGGGAGTCAACTACGCCCGCGATGTTGTTGTTGTTTGTTGTATAATTGTCGGGCGTGGACACCGACTGCATCTGTGCTCACAGTCGCATTCATCCTAGCGGCAAACTGAGCACGTGACCGCATTGAGAAGCGCTGCTGCCCCCCCCCGTCCCTGGCAGTCCACGCAGCGCGCCGCCTCTCGTCACGGCGGATCCCCCTCCCCCCTCCCCCCACCGATAAAGGCCCCACCGTCGTCCCACACTCACTGGGCCGCACATCATCAACGTCACACTCTCGTCATCTTCACTGTCGTAATCTCCACTGTCGTCATCTTCACTGTCGTCATCTCTACTGTCGTCATCTCCACTCTCGTCATCTCTACTGTCGTCATCTTCACTCTCGTCATCTCCACTCTCGTCATTTTCACTGTCGTCATCTTCACTGTCGTCATCTTGACTGTCGTCATCTCTACTGTCGTCATCTCCACTCTCGTCATCTCCACTCTCGTCATCTCCACTCTCGTCATCTTCACTGTCGTCATCTTCACTGTCGTCATCTCCACTGTCGTCATCTCAACTGTCGTCATCTCCACTGTCGTCATCTCCACTGTCGTCATCTCCACTCTCGTCATGTTCACTCTCGTCATCTCCACTGTCGTCATCTTCACTGTCGTCATCTTCACTGTCGTCATCTCCACTCTCGTCATCTTCACTGTCGTCATCTCCACTCTCGTCATCTCCACTGTCGTCATCTTCACTCTCGTCATCTCCACTCTCGTCATCTCTACTGTCGTCATCTCCACTCTCGTCATCTCCACTGTCGTCATCTCCACTGACGTCATCTCCACTGTCGTCATCTTCACTCTCGTCATCTCCACTGTCGTCATCTTCACTGTCGTCATCTCCACTCTCGTCATCTTCACTGTCGTCATCTTCACTCTCGTCATCTTCACTGTCGTCATCTCCACTGTCGTCATCTCCACTGTTGTCATCTTCACTGTCGTCATCTCTACTCTCGTCATCTTCACTCTCGTCATCTCCACTGTCGTCATCTTCACTCTCGTCATCTCCACTGTCGTCATCGTCACTCTCGTCATCTTCACTCTCGTCATCTCCACTGTCGTCATCTTCACTCTCGTCATCTCCACTGTCGTCATCTTCACTCTCGTCATCTTCACTCTCGTCATCTCCACTCTCGTCATCTCCACTGTCGTCATCTCCACTGTCGTCATCTTCACTGTCTCATCTCTACTCTCGTCATCTTCACTCTCGTCATCTCCACTGTCGTCATCTTCACTCTCGTCATCTCCACTGTCGTCATCTTCACTCTCGTCATCTTCACTCTCGTCATCTCCACTGTCGTCATCTTCACTCTCGTCATCTCCACTGTCGTCATCTTCACTCTCGTCATCTTCACTCTCGTCATCTCCACTCTCGTCATCTCCACTGTCGTCATCTCCACTGTCGTCATCTTCACTGTCTCATCTCTACTCTCGTCATCTTCACTCTCGTCATCTCCACTGTCGTCATCTTCACTCTCGTCATCTCCACTGTCATCATCTTCACTCTCGTCATCTTCACTCTCGTCATCTCGACTGTCGTCATCTTCACTCTTGTCATCTCCACTGTCGTCATCTTCACTCTCGTCATCTCCACTCTCGTCATCTCCACTGTCGTCATCTCCACTGTCGTCATCTTCACTGTCTCATCTCTACTCTCGTCATCTTCACTCTCGTCATCTCCACTGTCGTCATCTTCACTCTCGTCATCTCCACTGTCGTCATCTTCACTCTCGTCATCTTCACTCTCGTCATCTCTACTCTCGTCATCTCCACTCTCGTCATCTCCACTCTCGTCATCTCTACTGTCGTCATCTCCACTGTCGTCATCTCCACTGTCGTCATCTCCACTGTCGTCATCTTCACTGTCATCATCTCCACTCTCGTCATCTTTACTCTCGTCATCTCCACTGTCGTCATCTCCACTGTCGTCATCTTCACTGTCGTCATCTCCACTGTCGTCATCTTCACTCTCGTCATCTCCACTGTCGTCATCTTCACTGTCGTCATCTCCACTGTCGTCATCTTCACTCTTGTCATCTCCACTGTCGTCATCTTCACTCTCGTCATCTCCACTCTCGTCATCTCCACTGTCGTCATCTTCACTCTCGTCATTTTCACTGTCGTCATCTTCACTGTCGTCATCTTCACTGTCGTCATCTTCACTGTCGTCATCTCCACTGTCGTCATCTCCACTCTCGTCATCTCCACTGTCGTCATCTTCACTCTCGTCATCTTCACTGTCGTCATCTTCACTGTCGTCATCTCCACTGTCGTCATCTCCATTCTCGTCATTTCCACTGTCGTCATCTTCACTCTTGTCATCTCCACTGTCGTCATCTTCACTCTCGTCATCTTCACTCTTGTCATCTTCACTATCGTCATCTTCACTCTCGTCATCTCTACTCTCGTCATCTCCACTGTCGTCATCTTCACTCTCGTCATCTCTACTGTCGTCATCTCCACTGTCGTCATCTTCACTGTTGTCATCTCCACTGTCGTCATCTTCACTCTCGTCATCTCCACTCTCGTCATCTTCACTCTCGTCATCTTCACTCTCGTCATCTTCACTGTCGTCATCTTCACTCTCGTCATCTCCACTGTCGTCATCTCCACTCTCGTCATCTCCACTCTCGTCATCTCCACTGTCGTCATCTCCACTCTCGTCATCTCCACTGTCGTCATCTCCACTCTCGTCATCTTCACTGTCGTCATCTTTACTCTCGTCATCTCCACTCTCGTCATCTCCACTGTCGTCATCTTCACTCTCGTCATCTTCACTGTCGTCATCTTCACTCTCGTCATCTTCACTCTCGTCATCTCCACTGTCGTCATCTCCACTCTCGTCATCTTCACTGTCGTCATCTCCATTCTCGTCATCTTCACTGTCGTCATCTTCACTCTCGTCATCTCCACTCTCGTCATCTCCACTGTCGTCATCTTCACTCTC